TCACCCCGCCCCATTCTCCCTCATTCCATTAGCCCGCCCCATTCTCCGCTTCCCATAACCCACCCCCTTCTCCCGCTTTCCATCACCCCGCCACATTCTCCCGCTTCTTCACCCCGCCCCATTCTCCCTCCTTCCATCACCCCGCCCCATTCTCCCGCTTTCCATCACCCCGCCCCATTCTCCCACTTTCCATCATCCCGCCCCATTCTCCCTCCTTCCATCACCCCGCCCCAATTCTCCCGCTTTCCATCACTCCGCCCCATTCTCCCTCCTTCATCACCCCGCCCCATTCTCCCCTTCCATCACCCAGCCTCATTCTCTCCCTTTCCATCACCCCGCCCCATTCTCCGCTTTCCATCACCCCACCACATTCTCCCACTTTCCATCACCCCGCCCCCTTCTATCTCCTTCCATCACCCCACCCCATTCTCCCGCTTTCCATTAGCCCGCCCCATTCTCCCGCTTTCCATCACCCCTCCCATTTCTCCCACTTTCCATCTCCCCGCCCATTCTCCGCTTTCCATCACCCCGACCCATTCTCCCGCTTTCCATCACCCCGGCCCATTCTTCCGCTTCCTTTCATCCCGCCCCATTCCCCGCTTTCCATCACACCTCCCCATTCTCCCTCCTTCCATCACCCGCTCCATTCTCTCGCTTTCCATCACCCCGCCCCATTCTCCCGCTTCCCATCACCCGCCCCATTCTCCCGCTTTCCATCACCCCGCCCCATTTCCCGCTTTCCATCACCCCGTCCATTCTCCCGCTTCCATCACCCTGCCCCAATCTCCCGCTTTCCATCACCCACCCCATTCTCCCTCCTTCCATCACCCCGCCCCATTCTCCCGCTTTCCATCACCCCGCCTCATCTCCCGCTTTCCATATCCCCACCCCATTCTCCGCTTTCCATCACCCCGCCACATTCTCCCACTTTCTCACCCCGCCCCCTTCTCTCTCCTTCCATCACCCCGCCCCATTCTCCCTCCTTCCATCACCCTGCCCATCCTCCCGCTTTCCATCAGCCCGCTCCATTGTCCGCTTCCATCACCCCTCCCTTTCTCCCGCTTTCCATCTCCCCGGCCCATTCTCCCGCTTTCCATCACCCCCCCATTCTCCTGCTTTCCATCACCCCGCCCCATTCTTCCGCTTCCCATCATCCCGCCCCGTTCCCCCGCTTTCATCACCCCTCCCCATTCTCCCTCCTTCCATCACCCGCCCCATTCTCTCGCTTTCCATCACCCCGCCCCATTCTCCGCTTTCCATCACCCCGACCCATTCTCCCGCTTTCCATCACCCCGCCCCATTCTTCCTCCTTCCATCACCCGCCCCATTCTCCCGCCTTCCATCACCCCGCCCATTCTCCCTCCTTCCATCAACCCGCCCATTCTCCCGCTTCCCATAACCCCACCCCATTCTCCCGCTTTCCATCACCCCGCCACATTTTCCCACTTTCCATCACCCGCCCCTTTCTCTCCTTCCATCACCCGCCCCATTTCCCTCCTTCCATCAACCGCCCCATTCTCCCGCTTTCCATCAGCCGCCCCATTCTCCCGCTTTCCATTACCCCACCCCTTTCTCCCGCTTTCCATCTCCTGCCCCATTCTCCCGCTTTCCATCACCCCGCCCCATTCTCCCGCTTTCCATCACCCAGCCCCATTCTCCGCTTTCCATCACCCCGCCCCATTCTCCCGCTTTCCATCACCCAGCCCCATCTCCCGCTTTCCATCATCCCGCCCCATTTTCCCGCTTTCCATCACCCCGTCCATTCTCCCGCTTCCATCACCTGCCCCAACTCCCGCTTTCCATCACCCCACCCATTCTCCCGCCTTCCATCACCCCGCCCCATTCTCCCGCTTTCCATCACCCCGCCCCATTCTCCCGCTTTCCATCACCCAGCCTCATTCTCCCGCTTCCATCACCTGCCCCATTCTCCCGCTTTCCATCACCCCGCCCCATTCTCCCGCTTTCCATCACCCCGCCCCATTCTCCCTCCTTCCATCTCCCGCCCCATTCTCCCGCTTTCCATCACCCGTCCCATTCTCCCTCCTTCCATCACCCGCCCCATTCTCCCTCCTTCCATCACCCCGCCCCATTCTCCTCATTCCATCACCCTCCCCATTCTCCCGCTTTCCATCACCCCGCCCCATTCTCCGCTTTCCATAACCCCACCCCATTCTCCCGCTTTCCATCACCCCACCACATTTTCCCACTTTCCATCACCCCGCCCCCTTCTCTCTCTTCCGTCACCTCGCCCCATTCTCCCTTTCCATCAACCCGCCCCATTCTCCCGCTTTCCATCAGCCCGCCCCATTCTCCCGCTTTCCATTACCCCGCCCCTTTCTTCCGCTTTCCATCTCCCCGCCCCATTCTCCCGCTTTCCATCACCCCGCCCCTTTCTCCTGCTTTCCACACCCAGCCCCATTCTCCCGCTTTCCATCACCCGCCCCATTCTCCCGCTTCCATCACCCGCCCCATTCTCCGCTTTCCATCACCCCGCCCCATTTTCTTGCTTTCCATCACCCGCCCCATTCTCCTGCTTTCCATCACCCTGCCCCATCTCCCGCTTTCCATCACCCCACCCCATTCTCCCTCCTCCTTCCATCACCCGCCCCATTCTCCCGCTTTCCATCAACCCGCCCCATTCTCCCGCTTTCCATCACCCAGCCTCATTCTCCGCTTTCCATCACCCCGCCCCATTCTCCCGCTTTCCATCACCCCGCCCCATTCTCGCTTTCCATCACCCCGCCCATTCTCCCTCCATCCATCACCCCGCCCCATTCTCCGGCATTCCATCACCCCGTCCCATTCTCTCCTTTCCATCACCCCGCCCCATTCTCCCTCCTTCCATCACCCGCCCCATTCTCCCGCTTTCATCAGCCCGCCCCATTCCCGCTTCCCATAACCCCACCCCTTCTCCCGCTTTCCATCACCCGCCACATTCTCCCGCTTTCTATCACCCCGCCCTATTCTCCCTCCTTCCATCACCCCGCCCCACTCTCCCGCTTTCCATCACCCCGCCCCATTCTCTCGCTTTCCATCACCCGCCCCATTCTCCCTCCTTCCATCACCCCGCCAAATTCTCCCGCTTTCCATCACTCCGCCCCATTCTCCCTCCTTCCATCACCCCGCCCCATTTCCCCCCTTCCATCACCCGCCCCCATTCTCCCGCTTCCCATAACCCCACCCTATTCTCCGCTTTCCATCACCCCGCCACATTCTCCCACTTTCATCACCCCGCCCCCTTCTCGCTCCTTCCATCACCCCGCCCCATTCTCCCGCTTCCATAGCCCGCCCCATTCTCCCGCTTTCCATCACTCCTCCCATTTCTCCCACTTTCCATCTCTTCGCCCCATTCTCCTGCTTTCCATCACCCCGACCATTCTCCCGCTTTCCATCACCCGGCCCATTCTTCCGCTTCCCATCATCCCGCCCCATTCCCCGCTTTCCATCACCCCTCCCCATTCTCCCTCCTCCATCACCCCGCTCCATTCTCTCGCTTTCCATCACCCCGCCCCATTCTCCCGCTTCCATCACCCGCCCCATTTTCCCGCTTTCCATCACCCGTCCCATTCTCCCGCTTCCATCACCCTGCCCCAATCTCCCGCTTTCCATCACCCCACCCATTCTCCCTCCTTCCATCACCCCGCCCCATTCTCCCGCTTTCCATCACCCCGCCACATTCTCCCGCTTCCCATATCCCCACCCCATTCTCCCGCTTTCCATCACCCCGCCACATTCTCACTTTCTATCACCCCGCCCCCTTCTCTCTCCTTCCATCACCCGCCCCATTCTCCCTCCTTCCATCACCTGCCCCATTCTCCCGCTTCCATCACAGCCCGCCCCATTGTCCCGCTTTCCATCACCCCTCCTCTTTCTCCCGCTTTCCATCTCCCCGCCCCATTCTCCGCTTTCCATCACCCCGCCCCATTCTCGTGCTTTCCATCACCCCGCCCCATTCTTCCGCTTCCCATCATCCCGCCCCGTTCCCGCTTTCCATCACCCTCCCCATTCTCCCTCCTTCCACACCCGCCCCATTCTCTCGCTTTCCATCACCCGCCCCATTCTCCCGCTTTCCATCACCCCGCCCCATTCTCCCGCTTTCCATCACTCCGCCCCATTATTTCTCCTTCCATCACCCCGCACCATTCTCCCTCCTTCCATCACCCGCCCCATTCTCCCGCTTTCCGTCACCCGCTCCATTCTCCCGCTTTCCATCACCCCGCCCCATTCTCCCGCTTTCCATCACCCGCCCCATTTTCCCGCTTTCATCACCCGTCCCATTCTCCCGCTTCCATCACCCTGCCCAATCTCCCGCTTTCCATCACCCTACCCCATTCTCCCTCCTTCCATCACCCGCCCCATTCTCCGCTTTCCATCACCCCGCCTCATTCTCCCGCTTCCCATATCCCCACCCCATTCTCCGCTTTCCATCACACCGCCACATTCTCCCACTTTCTATCACCCCGCCCCTTCTTTCTCTTCCATCACCGCCCCATTCTCCTCCTTCCATCACCCTGCCCCATCCTCCGCTTTCCATCAGCCCGCCCCATTGTCCCGCTTTCCATCACCCTCCCCTTCTCCCGCTTTCCATCTCCCCGCCCATTCTCCCGCTTTCCATCACCCCGCCCCATTCTCCTGCTTTCCATCACCCCGCCCCATTCTTCCGCTTCCCATCATCCGCCCCGTTCCCCCGCTTTCCATCACCCCTCCCCATTCTCCCTCCTTCCATCACCCGCCCCATTCTCTCGCTTTCCATCACCCTGCCCATTCTCCCGCTTCCATCACACCGACCCATTCTCCCGCTTTCATCACCCCGCCCCATTCTTCTCCTTCCATCACCCGCCCCATTCTCCCGCCTTCCATCACCCCGCCCCATTCTCCCTCCTTCCATCACCCCGCCCCATTCTCCCTAATTCCATCACCCTGCCCCATTCTCCCGCTTTCCATCACCCCGCCCCATTCTCCCGCTTCCATAACCCCACCCCATTCTCCGCTTCCATCACCCCGCCCACATTTTCCCATTTCCATCACCCGCCCCCTTCTCTCTCCTTCCATCACCCCGCCCCATTCTCCCTCCTTCCATCAACCCGCCCCATTCTCCCGCTTTCCATCAGCCGCCCCATTCTCCCGCTTTCCATTACCCCGCCCCTTTCTCCCGCTTCCATCTCCCTGCCCCATTCTCCACTTCAATCACCCGCCCATTCTCCCGCTTCCATCACCCAGCCCATTCTCCCGCTTTCCATCACCCCGCCCCATTCTCCCGCTTTCCATCACCCAGCCCCCATTCTCCCGCTTTCCATCACCCCGCCCCATTTTCCCGCTTTCCGTCACCCCGTCCCATTCTCCCGCTTCTATCACCCTGCCCCAATCTCCCGCTTTCCATCACCCCACCCCATTCTCCCTCCTTCCATCACCCCGCCCCATTCTCCCGCTTTCCCATCACCCCGCCCATTCTCCCGCTTTCCACCACCCAGCCTCATTCTCCGCTTTCCATCACCCTGCCCATCTCCCCGCTTTCCATCACCCGCCCCATTCTCCCGCTTTCCCACCCCGCCCCATTCTCCCTCTTCCATCTCCCCGCCCCATTCTCCCGCTTTCCATCACCCCGTCCCATTCTCCCTCCTTCCATCACCCGCCCCATTCTCCCTCCTTCCATCACCCCGCCCCATTCTCCCTCATTCCATCACCCTGCCCCATTCTCCGCTTTCTTATCACCCCGCCCCATTCTCCGCTTCCCATAACCCACCCCATTCTCCCGCTTTCCATCACCCCGCCACATTTTCCCACTTTCCATCACCACGCCCCCTTCTCTCTCCTTCGTCACCTCGCCCCATTCTCCCTCCTTCCATCAACCCGCCCCATTCTCCCGCTTTCCATCAGCCCGGCCCCATTCTCCCGCTTTCCATTACCCCGCCCCTTTCTCCCGCTTCCATCTCCCTGCCCCATTCTCCCGCTTTCCATCTCCCGCCCCTTTCTCCTGCTTTCATCACCCAGCCCCATTCTCCGCTTTCCATCAACCCGCCCCATTCTCCCGCTTTCCATCACCCAGCCCCATTCTCCGCTTTCCATCACCCCGCCCCATTTTCTTGCTTCCATCACCTCGCCCCGTTCTCCCGCTTTCCATCACCCTGCCCCAATCTCCCGCTTTCCATCACCCCACCCCATTCTCCCTCCATCCATCACCCCGCCCCATTCTCCCGCTTTCCATCAACCCGCCCCATTCTCCCGCCTTCCATCACCCAGCCTCATTCTCCCGCTTTCCATCACCCGCCCCATTCTCCCGCTTTCCATCACCCCGCCCCATTCTCCCACTTTCCATCACCCGCCCCATTCTCCCTCCTTCCATCACCCCGCCCCATTCTCCGGCATTCCATCACCCCGTCCCATTCTCCCTCCTTCCATCACCCCGCCCCATTCTCCCTCCTACCATCACCCCGCCCCATTCTCCCGCTTTCCATCAGCCCGCCCCATTCTCCCGCTTCCCATAACCCACCCCTTCTCCCGCTTTCCATCACCCCGGCACATTCTCCCGCTTTCTATCGCCCCGCCCTATTCTCCCTCCTTCCATCACCCCGCCCCATTCTCCCGCTTTCCATCACCCCGCCCCATTCTCCCGCTTTCATCATCCCGCCCCATTCTCCTCCTTCCATCACCCCGCCCAATTCTCCCGCTTTCCATCACTCCGCCCCATTCTCCCTCCTTCCATCACCCCGCCCATTCTCCCCCTTCCATCACCCCGCCCCATTCTCCCGCTTCCCATAACCCCCACCCTATTCTCCCGCCTTTCCATCACCCCGCCACATTCTCCCACTTTCCATCACCCCGCCCCCTTCTCTCTCCTTCCATCACCCCGCCCCATTCTCCCGCTTTCCATCACCCCTCCCATTTCTCCCACTTTCCAACTCCCCGCCCCATTCTCCCGCTTTCCATCACCCCGACCCATTCTCCCGCTTTCCATCACCCCGCCCATTCTTCCGCTTCCCATCATCCCGCCCCATTCCCCCGCTTCCATCACCCCTCCCCATTCTCCCTCCTTCCATCACCCCGCTCCATTCTCTCGCTTTCCATCACCCCGCCCCATTCTCCCGCTTTCCATCACCCCGCCCCATTCTCCCGCTTTCCATCACCCAGCCCATTCTTCCTCCTTCCATCACCCCGCCCCATTCTCCCGCTTTCCATCACCCCGCCCCATTCTCCCTCCTTCCATCACCCCGCCCATTCTCCCGCTTTCCATTAGCCCGCCCCATTCTCCCGCTTTCCATCACTCCTCCCATTTCTCCCACTTTCCATCTCTTCGCCCCATTCTCCTGCTTTCCATCACCCCGACCCATTCTCCCGCTTTCCATCACCCCGGCCCATTCTTCCGCTTCCCATCATCCCGCCCCATTCCCCCATCACCCCGCTCCATTCTCTCGCTTTCCATCACCCCGCCCCATTCTCCCGCTTTCCATCACCCGCCCCATTTTCCCGCTTTCCATCACCCCGTCCCATTCTCCCGCTTCCATCACCCTGCCCCAATCTCCCGCTTTCCATCACCCCACCCCATTCTCCCTCCTTCCATCACCCCGCCCCATTCTCCCGCTTTCCATCACCCCGCCACATTCCCGCTTCCCATATCCCCACCCCATTCTCCCGCTTTCCATCACCCCGCCACATTCTCCCACTTTCTATCACCCCGCCCCCTTCTCTCTCCTTATCAACCCGCCCCATTCTCCTCCTTCCATCACCCTGCCCCCATTCTCCCGCTTTCCATCAGCCCGCCCCATTGTCCGCTTTCCATCACCCCTCTCTTCTCCCGCTTTCCATCTCCCCGCCCATTCTCCCGCTTTCCATCACCCCGCCCCATTCTCGTGCTTTCCATCACCCCGCCCATTCTCCGCTTCCCATCATCCCGCCCGTTCCCCCGCTTTCCATCACCCCCCCCATTTCCCTCCTTCCATCACCCGCCCCATTCTCTCGCTTTCCATCACCCCGCCCCATTCTCCCGCTTTCCATCACCCGCCCCATTCTCCCGCTTTCCATCACTCCGCCCCATTATTTCTCCTTCCACACCCCGCCCCATTCTCCCTCCTTCCATCACCCCGCCCCATTCTCCGCTTTCCGTCACCCCGCTCCATTCTCCCGCTTTCCATCACCCCGCCCCATTCTCCGCTTTCCATCACCCCGCCCATTTCCCGCTTTCCATCACCCGTCCCATTCTCCCGCTTCCATCACCCTGCCCCAATCTCCCGCTTTCCATCCCCCCTACCCATTCTCCTCCTTCCATCACCCCGCCCCATTCTCCCGCTTTCCATCACCCCGCCTCATTCTCCCGCTCCCATATCCACCCCATTCTCCCGCTTTCCATCACACCGCCACATTCTCCCACTTTCTATCACCCCGCCCCTTCTCTCTCCCCATCACCCCGCCCATTCTCCCTCCTTCCATCACCCTGCCCCATCCTCCCGCTTTCCATCAGCCCGCCCATTGTCCCGCTTTCCATCACCCCTCCCCTTTCTCCCGCTTTCCATCTCCCCGCCCCATTCTCCCGCTTTCCATCACCCGCCCCATTCTCCTGCTTCCATCACCCCGCCCCATTCTTCCGCTTCCCATCATCCCGCCCCGTTCCCCCGCTTTCCATCACCTCCCATTCTCCCTCTTCCATCAACACGCCCCATTCTCTCGCTTTCCATCACCCTGCCCCATTCTCCCGCTTCCATCACCCGACCCATCTCCCGCTTTCCATCACCCCGCCCCATCTTCCTCCTTCCATCACCCAGCCCCATTCCCCGCTTTCCATCACCACGCCCCATTTCCACTTCCTCCATCACCCCGCCCCATTCTCCCTCATTCCATCACCCTGCCCCATTCTCCCGCTTTCCATCACCCCGCCCCATTCTTCCGCTTCCCATAACCCCACCCCATTCCCCGCTTTCCATCACCCGCCACATTTTCCCACTTTCCATCACCCCGCCCCCTTCTCTCTCCTTCCATCAACCAGCCCCATTCTCCCTCCTTCCATCCAACCCGCCCCATTCTCCCGCTTTCCATCAGCCCGCCCCATTCTCCAGCTTCCATTACCGCCCCTTTCTCCCGCTTTCCATCTCCCTGCCCCATTCTCCCACTTTCCATCACCCGCCCCATTCTCCGCTTTCCATCACCCAGCCCCATTCTCCGCTTTCATCACCCCGCCCCATTCTCCCGCTTTCCATCACCCAGCCCCATTCTCCCGCTTTCCATCACCCCGCCCCATTTCCCGCTTTCCGTCACCCCGTCCCATTCTCCCGCTTCTATCACCCTGCCCCAATCTCCCGCTTTCCATCACCCCACCCCATTCTCCTCTTCCATCACCCCGCCCCATTCTCCCGCTTTCCATCACCCCGCCCCATTCTCCCGCTTTCCACAACCAGCCTCATTCTCCCGCTTTCCATCACCCTGCCCATTCTCCCGCTTTCATCACCCCGCCCCATTCCCCGCTTTCCATCACCCGCCCCATTCTCCTCCTTCCATCTCCGCCCCATTCTCCCGCTTTCCATCACCCCGTCCCATTCTCCCTCCTTCCATCACCCCGCCCATTCTCCCTCCTCCACATCACCCGCCCCATTCTCCCTCATTCCATCACCCTGCCCATTCTCCCGCTTTCTATCACCCCGCCCATTCTCCCGCTTTCCATAACCCACCCCATTCTCCCGCTTTCATCACCCCGCCACATTTTCCCACTTTCCATCACCCCGCCCCCTTCTCTCTCCTCATTCACCTCGCGCCCATTCTCCTCTTCCATCAACCCGCCCCATCTCCCGCTTTCCATCAGCCCGCCCATTCTCCCGCTTTCCATTACCCCGCCCCTTTCTCCGCTTTCCATCTCCCTGCCCATTCTCCCGCTTTCCATCTCCCGCCCTTTCTCCTGCTTTCCACACCCAGCCCCATTCTCCCGCTTTCCATCAACCCGCCCCATTCTCCCGCTTTCCATCACCCAGCCCCATCTCTCCCGCTTTCCATCACCCGCCCCATTTTCTTGCTTTCCATCACCTCGCCCCGTTCTCCCGCTTTCCATCACCCTGCCCCAATCTCCGCTTTCCATCACCCCACCCCATTCTCCCTCCATCCATCACCCCGCCCCATTCTCCCGCTTTCCATCAACGCCCCATTCTCCCGCCCTTCCATCACCCAGCCTCATTCTCCCGCTTTCCATCACCCGCCCCATTCTCCGCTTTCCATCACCCCGCCCCATTCTCCCACTTTCCATCACCCCGCACCATTCTCCCTCCTTCCATCACCCCGCCCCATTCTCCGGCATTCCATCACCCCGTCCCATTCTCCCTCCTTCCATCACCCCGCCCCATTCTCCCTCCTACCATCACCCCGCCCCATTCTCCCGCTTTCCATCAGCCGCCCCATTCTCCCGCTTCCCATAAACCCCACCCCTTCTCCCGCTTTCCATCACCCGCCACATTCTCCCGCTTTCTATCGCCCCGCCCTATTCTCCTCCTTCCATCACCCCGCCCCATTCTCCCGCTTTCCATCACCCCGCCCATTCTCCGCTTTCCATCATCCCGCCCCATTCTCCCTCATTCCATCACCCGCCCAATTCTCCCGCTTTCCATCACTCCGCCCCATTCTCCCTCCTTCCATCACCCCGCCCCATTCTCCCCCCTTCCATCACCCCGCCATTCTCCCGCTTCCATAACCCCACCCTATTCTCCCGCTTTCCATCACCCGCCACATTCTCCCATTCCATCACCCCGCCCCTTCTCTCTCTTCCATCACCCCCCCATTCTCCCGCTTTCCATTAGCCCGCCCCATTCTCCCGCTTTCCATCACCCCTCCCATTTCTCCCACTTTCCAACTCCCCGCCCCATTCTCCCGCTTTCCATCACCCGACCCATTCTCCCGCTTTCCATCACCCCGGCCCATTCTTCCGCTTCCATCATCCCGCCCCATTCCCCCGCTTTCCATCACCCCTCCATTCTCCCTCCTTCCATCACCCCGCTCCATTCTCTCGCTTTCCATCACCCCGCCCCATTCTCCCGCTTTCCATCACCCCGCCCCATCTCCCGCTTTCCATCACCCCAGCCCATTCTTCCTCCTTCCATCACCCGCCCCATTCTCCCGCTTTCCATCACCCCGCCCCATTCTCCTCCTTCCATCACCCCGCCCCATTCTCCTCATTCCATCACCCCGCCCCCATTCTCCCGCTTTCCAGCACCCGCCCTATTTCCCGCTTCCCATAACCCCGCCCCATTCTCCCGCTTTCCAACCCTCCCCATTCTCCCTCCTCCATCACCCCGCCCCATTCTCTCGCTTCCATCACCCCCCCCATTCTCCGCGCTTTCCATCACCCCGCCCCGTTCTCCCGCTTTCCATCACTCCGCCCCATTATACCTCCTTCCATCACCCCGCC